TTATTTTAATTAAAAAATACAAACTTCCTTGAGTAATGTATTCTGCTGTGACATGTAGAATTTAGACCTGTTTGTTTGCTAAAAGGATAATGGTGTGGAAAGTGAAAAAAACAAGAAAGCAAGAACTAAAAAGGAATTTCCTATAGGTCATCATATAAATCAAACTTGAGAAAAACTTACTGTAAAAGTATTAAATAAGGATAATATGAAATGAAATATCTGTATGAGAGTGTAAGATTATGAACTGCTAAATATTCTATAAAATATGTAAAAATATGGTGGACTCATTTGCATGTATTACTTGGTGTTGTTTGTAGAGCAGCTTCCATCTTGAGTTAACCAAGAGCCCCTTACACCACTTTCCAGCGCCTGTCCTGTTGTGGGCGCTCAATAAATATTCAAAAATTGAAGTAAAACTCTTTTTAAGGGTTTGAAATCCACAGGAATCAATCATCTTGTTATTATCATTTAAAATTTATTGAGGGTCAACAACAAGACTTAATCAACATACGCAAATTTCTTATTTTATAATCACACATCACATAAATCATTAAATACATTTGGGTCAACTAAAATTTTTGGTTTTACTCCATTGACTTTTGAAAGGTTAAATTGCTTCCTTTCTTTTTTAAAAAAATAACTTTAGTATACCAGGTAATACAAACACAATCATTCGAATGAGTAGGACTGTCTCAGGAAAGCCACTGCTCTTGGGTATCTTTAACAGTCACTTACAACTCAGAATAAGTCTACAATAATTACTCATACATATTCAAAACATGACCAATGCATGCACAAAGATGGAGAGTATCTACTGAGAGAGGAATATGACTCACATACAAGGCAATTGTTTCCACCAGTTGTCCTGACAAATTTAAAGGCTCTTTCAAAGATACGGCAACATTGCCCACAGAATAGAATCACATCCAACCCAATGAACAACAGAAATCCTTCACTTGCACACAAATTAGATTGTCGAGTTCTGAAACATTTCTAAGTTTAAAGCAAAAGTGAATATCTAATTAGAGGAAATTAACTTTTATACAATTTTGATATATTTTCTCATGTTTTATATTCATAAAGTGACAAGTAATTATGTTCAAATTTATGTTGTTTGTTAACTGGATACTGTTCTTAAAAATTGCTTGTCATGTTAAAAGTTAACTGGATTGTAAAGTCATTTTTATTTTCTAGGAGGATGAAACACAACAAATAATTCTGTTATAACCCTTTTAAATTTACTTTAAGGTCACAAATTATACATAAACAGTTAAGATTATAAAGTATGATTTTCATTGCCACCTTATGAAAATAAAGGATTTCTAGACCAGGCCTTCCATAAAGTAAGATTCTAATGTATATTCCATTTAACAACTATGTATCATACTATCAGAAATTTTTCATTTGAAGAAAGTATTAGCTTTTTATTGTTCCCTAAGTTTATAAATGTGTTTTAAAAGCAAGGATAAGGTATACTTTACCAAAACTGGCAAATTATTTTGCATTATTAAACAATTATTTAACTTTCTCTTCTATTTTTGCCTTGTTAAGAAGTTCCCACTAACATATTTGCAAATAATAAACTTGACAACATTTTCTATATTTGCCCATATGACTGTTTATTACACAGAACTTTTTAACCCCAGTTTTTTGAGACAGTTTCTTTTTGTAACAGTCATGATTATCCTCTAACTTGCTTTGTAAAGCAGGCTGGCCTCAAACTCACAGAGATCTGCCTGTCTCTGTCTCCCAAGTGCTGGAATTAAAGGCATGCACCACCACCACCTGGCCACACAGAACTTCTCAAGAATGAGAATCTACTACAAATATATTAACTGATAATTGATGAATAATAATTAATTTATCTCTATTTTTTCTATTTTTAAATAGATAAGGTAAAATTTTAATTTAACTTCTTAAGAATATGCCTAGCTTCTCTGTTAGAACTTTGACTTACAGAATATTCTAGTTTCACAGATTGTTGGGCACAAGTTGTTGAAATCTGGATCAGCTGTTACTCCTTTCTTGACATTTTCGCCGTGTTTGCAATTAACCAACAAATATCTATTGAGCACACTGTTGACAGACCACAGTGATAGGCTCTTAGACCAAAACCTAAACAAGACCTTGCTAATGTCATGAATCAGAAAGAATGACAGAAATAAAAACAATTTTCAAATGGTTGATTTGTAACTATTTTCCGGTTTCAGAAAACTTACTCCAACCTTATTATTGAGGCCAAAAGTATTGTCTTAACTGGTCTCTTCCTATGACTAACAGTGCTTCTGCAGAAGGGGTGTTTTCCCTACCTCAGCTAGTACTAAGAAAAGAACATCAGTCATTTGCTTTGGAAGGAGAAAGATGGAAAGACAGGAAAGGGGGATTTAATACTGAAGATGTATTTGGAAAAAGGAACAGCAAAACACCTAATTTTGATAAATTAAATATCAACAAGTGAGCAGATTTTAGTAATGCGCATTACATCATTGAACCACGTATGTAAGTTATATAACCACAGTATATAATTTGCAATGATGCATCTCTGCATGGAAACACAAATGTATGTGACACTTTTAACTTTAGCACACTGCTTCCTGACATGAGCACAGCCTTATCAGTCATAGAAGCATTTATTGAGAGCCATTCTGATACTTCTACAGGTACCCATGTAGGTGTCTTCCTAATTTAACGGCTTTTAACTATAGGCTATGCAAAATATTAATCCTCAAATCTATAATCTTGCCAACATAAGATATGCATGAGAAAAATAAAAGTAACATAACCCATCATAAGCTGAAAATAGAATAGCAAATTTTTGGAGTTCTGTCATCCTAGTCTTCCCCTTCTTGTGTGTGACAATGATGCCTCCTTTTCTAAATTAGGTTCACCCAAAATTAATTCCACCTTTTCTAAAAAATGCATTTCCCCTAATGGAAAGTGGGCATGAGTTAATGTTTTCATGCATAGCTGGGATACACCTATTTCCATCAGTACAGTGTGTACAGTTAGATTCAGAGAACACAACAGATAAGAATTATACAAATCATGATGTTTCCCCTAAAGGAATACACAAGTTAAAACACAAATGAATGAAAAGGTGTCTTTGATAAGATTTAGTTGTTTTCAATGCATTATAAACTCATTTTAGAAAAAAGATATTTTTGAAGTTTGCTAAAACCATGTAGGAGAGAAATGAAGACAGTTCTAAAACATCCACTTAAGAGTAAATATCAGAATTCTATCATGCAACACATAGATCAAAAGTAGCTTTCCACATGCGATCTCCCTGCTTTATTCATCTCTTAAAAAATACCTGTTTTTCTCATCAACTATTTGGCATAAATATACCACCACAAAAAGGACAATAGGCTTAAATACACTACTTTCTTTTATGCTTATAGTTTGAAATATGAGAGGTCATCTTCGTACATTTAAAACTATTTTACAATTATTGTGAAATTAATTGCCTTTCTTAACATAAGCCTACAATCCAAAGATTTCATGAGATGAAATATAATTTTAATAGAATTACAATAAAAGTAATCTGAAACAGTAAGTTCACATCCTAATGAGCCATTGCCAGCTTCAGAGGACATCAATGGGTTAATAAAAGTGACACCTTCAGAAATAAGCAGTCAGTGTCCTATCAGTCATGCTAGGCACCATTGCAGGCCGCTGCTCCACTGCTTTCCAGTCAGTCTACTCTTTTTTTTTTAATATTATTGCAATTTTAATAATTCTACTCTTAACATACTGTAGTGATTTAAAGCATCCTGCTAAGCTGGGGAAACTCCTTAATGGCGCAGTATCTGCTTGGCATGATTAAGGCCCTGAGATCTATCCTGAATACAGAAAAAAAGTATGAAAGAAAAGGGAAAAATCAAGAAGCAAAGCAAGCTATGATAAGTAATTGTTATGACTGTGCTCCTCTGTGGATTAAAGTGTGCTTTGCTAATTTATGAAAACTGTTTTCATGAAAAAGAAGGCCTAAATAAGTAAATATGCAATTTGGGAATTTGTAATTGGTTGCATCCTTTATACATATGATTTTTTATTTGGGCTACCCAGTGTCCTGCCAGGATGGTGGGTTGCAAATGATTGTCTTCATTTTGACTGAGATATACAGAAGGCTGTATAAATGAACAAACGGAAACAAGAACTTGTGTTTGTGCTTTGTGTTTCAGATACTAATGTAGGGACTTTTGCCCAAACAAAGCTGCCTGAAATCTTGCATTGATTCTTAAAATTGTTGGTGCTACCAAGACATCAAAAAAGAAGTGGAAAAACTTTGTCAACATAATTATCATGTTATTTCCACTATAAAAGTCTCTAAATCTTTTCCCTTAGTTGAGCTGCAGGAATAAGCACACTATTGCTCTCAGTGTTTAAAAGACAGTGCTCAGGAGCAATTTTAAAGCATCTTCTGAGTGATATTGTGGTAGAGCTTCATTAAACTATATAAATACATTCTTCCTGATTTTATGATGTATAATATTAAATTTTCAGGCCTTTTTGGATGAATCCACAAGCAAAGTCATCTTATAAACTGTCAAACCTTTTGCTGCCATTTGCACCAGTAATTTTAACAAATTACTCTTAAAGCAATATAAATTATTTTTCATGAATAGGGTTGAATCATGTTTATTCTTTGGGCTATGATCTGTGAGGTGGTATTGAAACCAAAAAACAGAGAAGTGCCTACTAGTCACCTAGCTCATTTTCCCATTATCAGTCCTCTTCAGCATCTCTGCTGGTGTAATAAGGCAATCAGTACAGGCTTCCCATTCTGAATTTATACTCAAGGCTTGATACACAAAAGAAAGACAAGGCCAGATAGTTGCCTTACATTCTCCCTGTCCAGAAAAGCATGCAAGGACATTGCTATAGTGCAAAAGATTTAAAGGTTACTGTCTTCCGCTTGTCTGGATCCAGTGTTTTCCTCCTCGAGTTGTTTTCTTTCTAAAGAAGATAACGTCAACCCGCTTCACTTTTTTTTTTACCTTGCTCCACTGTCTTGGCTTTCTCTTCTTTCTTTCCATGTGTAGCTGCAAAGCAAAGATAAGGTTTAAATAAGAATTTCAGCCCGAAATATTTATTCTGCACATAAAAGCATTTGGGAATGCATTTAATACCAAATATTGCTTCTAAACAAGCTTTTCTCTAATGCTTTCAAAATATTTCTCATCTCTCTATAATGTGATTGAAATCTGTCTTAAATCTAATCTTAAGGAATTAGAACCAAAAAGGAGAAGCAATAATCCCTTTGGTCTCCAGGCTGATGCTTCCACTCTCTTTTCTGCTTTATTCCTTTAAGCTGTGTTTTTTTTTTAAATAAGCAAGCTACAAAGAATTAGACTTGACATGACTATGATTAATTGACTTACATTCCAGGGTATTGCTGGAGTCACAGTATCTTACAAATGTCAACCAGATGCACCTTGAAATTCAAACTTAGCCTGTGTTTATCAACTGAAAGAAAGGTGCCACCATGCTTGAGAATAATTTAAATATTAAACGAATCCATCCCACATCACAAGTAGCCAAAACAGACAAGGGAATCTTTTAAAGCACTATAACCTATGAATAGTGTTTTCTCTGAGATTTATTGCCCTCAGCCTAAGATTTGCTGTTTACCTAGCTAAACATCAGATGAGCAGAAATTTTTTGTACAAAATCAGTGCCTCCAGCTGAAGTAACTGATTTGAAAAAGAATCTTCAGAGAATTGGATATCCGCTAGACGAAGAACCGATGTGGAATTGAATAATGTTGCTACAATCAACTCTACAGAGAGTTGCAAAGGAGAAAATGCAACTTTAAAATGAATGAGTGATTCTGCCACTGGCTTTACTCATTTTGGAACCAGAAGCGTTTCTTCACTGGGGCCTCTAGAGAGATGCTGTTTCCTGATGTGGTGTGTCGAATGTCAAAGCAGTACAGAGATTCAGTTAAACCAGAGGCCCAGCTTTCATTTTAATCAATGAGCATGTCAAACACTATTTGAAAGAAACCATTAGGCAAATAAAAATATCCATTGGTAACTAACCCTAAAGAAAGGAAAGGTGGGAGAGAGTAATGGAGGTAGGAAGATAGGAGGGGTCAGTAAAGAATGAAGGAAGACCAAGAAAAAAACAAAGGAAGATGTGATGAATTTCATACTTTGCTATATCTGCTTTAAAAAAACCTAAAGTTTAAATGTTTACTTGTTATAAATAAAAGGAGGTAGGTTATAAGGAATCATTATTCTAGCCCCAAATGGAACTCTTGAGTGAGGAATTTTGAAGTCACATAAAACCCCACTCATAGAGGAAAGCTTCTGAATAGGGAGAACTTCCAGAGACATGACAGTGAGGGTTGTGTAACTAGGCTAGGCTCCAAATGGAGGTACTGGGACATCAACCAGCCACAAAATTTTCAACCTGTCCTACCTGTAAGATTCAGTAGGGTAATAGTGTCTCGGAGCTTGTGGTAGTGGAAAACCAATGACTGGTCTAATTTGAGGCACAAGCCAGGAGAGGGAGCCCATGCCTATAATGCCTGAGTGGCCAGGAACCTCAGAGACCCAATGTAGAACTAAATCAAACATAACTAACTGACAAAAAAATCAATGAAATTACTTCTAATGATATTCTGCTGTACTCATAGATTGGTGCCAAGCCAAATAATCATCAGAGAGGCTTCCTCTGGCAGCTGATGTGAGCAAATGCAGAGACCCACACCCAAGCATTAGGCAGAGCTCAGGTAACTCCTCAGATGAGGGCAACAAAGGATTGTAGGAGCCAGAAGGACAAGGACACCAGGGAAACATGACCTAGAGAATCAACTAAGAAGGGCTCATAGGGGCTCACAAAGATTGAAGCAACAATCACAGAGCATGCATGGGTCTAAATTAAATCTCTGCATCCATGCTGTGGTTGCTTAACTTGGGTTTTTGTGGGACTCTCAACAGTTGGAGTGAGGGTGTCTCTGACTCTTTTACCTGCCCCTGGGACCCTTTTTCTCCTACTTGGTTGCCTTGTCCAGCTTTGGTATGAGGGTTTATGCCCAGCTTTGTTGTACCTTATGCTTTGGTTAATAACACTGGAAGACCTGATCGTTTCTGAAGGGATATGAAAAAAAAGGGATTGGATCTGGTAAGGGGGTAAGTAGAAGAGGAACTGGGAGGAGAGGAGGGAGGGAAGTCTGTGGTTGGCATGTATTGCATGAGAAAAGAATAAGGAAAAAGAAATAAAATATTGAATATCTTAAAAATTATCAAAAATAGATTTATTTTTTCTTCGTTTTCCATTTTTCCCTTTTTTACATAGAAAAATCTATTCTTCTCTCATACAATGCATCCATACCACAGTTTCCTTTCCCTCCACTCCACTCAGTTTCTTCTCCCTACTTTTCTCTGCCAGATCCATTCCCCTTCTGTTTCTTCTTCAGAAAAGAGCAGGCATCTATGAGTAAACACCCAGACAGGACAAAACAAGACACAGTAAAACAAGGCAAAAGCCTTCATATCGCTGGGTGTCGGTGGCATATGCCTTCAATCCCAGCACTCGGGAGCCAGAAGCAGCCAGGTGTCTTAGAGTCTGAGGCCAGCCTGGTCTACAGAGTGAGTGCCAGGGTAGGCTCCAAAGCTACACAACGAAACCCTGTCTAGAAAAACCAAAAAGAAAGAAAGAGAAAACAGAACAGGTAGGAAAAGAGTCCCAAGAACAGGCAGAAGAGTATGCGACCTACCCATTCCCACTTTTAGGAGCCCTGCAAAAGCACTGAACTAACAGGCTTCATGTAGATACAGGGAAGCCTCTGCAGACCTATGAGGTGCCTGCACTTGCCACTTCACTCTCTCTGTGCGCATGTGAGCCCAGCTTAGCTGACTCGGTGTGCCATGTTCTCCTCGTGTCCTTGGCCCCTCTGTCTCCTACAATACTCCTTCCCATCTTCAGGGTTTCCGGATTTCCAAGGGGAGGGACTGGTGGAAACCTACAAATTTTACTCTCTCCAAAGTGTGTGTGTGTTTCCTGATTTGATGCCTATTGATACTTATTTTTCAAAATTCACTGAAAACTCTAAGTAAATTTCTGAAGTTTTAGATCTAAATAGATATAAATTAATTAAAGCATTAATCTTAATTCAAATAAAGGACAAACCATAGTTTTGAAAAATGTCAAGGTGATATTGAGGTAAATCTAAGAACTCTCTATTAAATGTTGGAATTAAATATTCTTTTTTTAAAAAAACAAAAGCAAATAGAGGATCTCATAAAAAAGAAAATTTAAGTACTCATCTGGGAAATTACAGTAGGGAAGCAAATTGGTCATTAGAAATTTCTTCATATCACTTAATGTGGCACCAATTTATTATTATTGTTTGTTTGTTTTAGTGTACCAAGAAACCAAGTCATTCTTCATTTTTATTCTTAGGGACAAGTTACTAGAAAGCAGAGGAACAACTGTTTTAGGAAAGTAGTTACTTTTCAGTCTCAGAATCCTAGATATAATAAACAATAAAATTCATACTTTATAGTTTTTATTTTTCTTGTTGCAATACATGCCTTTCTTCAAAAAAGCCACAGAAATAAAAATAAATCTTTATTAAAAATATAATTAAGAGGTAATGTTTATAAATTTTTACAAATCTTATATATTTAGTGAGATTATCCTTGGAATACATTGGAGAAAGCGTGTATTTTGTTTTGCTTTTAAATGACTGTACCAAAAACTACCATTTTTTTTATTGAATGTGAACCTGGACTCTGACAGATGAGCCTTCCAGCAGGAGAACCATTTGGACCAAACTGCTGGTGTGAAACTGCAACTAGTACTGTGGAGAACAAACACATGTATGGACAAAGGAGAATTTTCTTATATGCATGTTTACACACTTCCAGTATTTGAGGAGGAAATAAAACAAAAACCTTTTCTCTTGGGGGGAAAAGGGAATACACATGCATTGATGATCCTGATACATCTCTTGTGAGGAGCAAAGAATTTAGTGATACACATAGATTGATGATAGATAGGTAGGTAGGTATGTAGATAGATAGATAGACAGACAGACAGACAGATCTATATATAATTACTAAGCATTTCATGAAGCCTGAGAAAAAAACTAATGATGCTGGTCAGTTAAATTTAGCACCTTCACATAAAATAATGAAGTAAAAGAATAAGAACAGAGGTTATACTTGATTTTTCATTATGCGTTTAAACAATCCAAAGATTTCTGCATGTGTCTTGACAATCATCTCTTCCATAGTCATTAGGCAGAAGTTAATAAAAGAAAAGAAATAGAAAAGAAAAACAGCCACTTGTCATGATTGGATGATAGGGGGTGGTCCTTCTGTATGCTGTGAATATAAATTTCTCTTATTGGTTGATGAATTAAGCGGTTTCTGCCAATGGATAGGCAGCAAGTATAGGTGGGACTACCAGACAAGGAAGATTCTGGGAAGAGGAATGCAAAGAGTGAGTCACCAGGGAGATGCCATGTAGCTACCAGGAAGATAGGATGCCTAGTCACTTTCCAGTAATCCAAGACCATATAGAGATATACAGGTTAATAGAAATGGGTTAATAATTAAGAGAGAGCTAGCCAATAAGAAGCCTTAGCTATTGTCCAAACAGTATAATGAATATAAGCCTCTGTGTATTTATTTGGGATGAAAGGGCTTTGAGACCAAACGGGTTGGACAGGAATTTCTGTCTACAAGTGGTGCCAAAATGTTTGGCAAGAATTTGAACATAAAACCTGACAGAAGCTTAAAAGGTGATTCTGAACTCAAAAGGATAGAATAAAAAACTGCTTCTTGGTAGCATTTTCTCAGGTGGGCTCTGTTTGCTAGAGGCAATCAGAGGTCTGGCTCCTTTAAGAGAGGCTTTCTGAGCCGGGCGGTGTTGGTGCACACCTTTAATCCCAGCACTCAGGAGGCAGAGGCAGGTGGATCTCTGTGAGTTCGAGGCTAGGCTGGACCGATGGCCTCCAAAATAATACAGAGAAACCCTGTCTCTTAAAAGCAAAAAAAAAAAAAAAAAAAAAAAAAGAGAGAGGCTTTCTGACTCAGTGTTAGTGGCATAAACTTTTTTAAGAGGCCCGGCTACCAAACAAATGATGCTTATTGGTGGTGACATGGACCTAGGAATTCCGCAGAGTTGTGGCAATAAACATGGCTTCCACCAGTACTACAGCCATGAGGCTAGACTCTCAGGAAGCCAAGGAATAGGTAGAGCCAGCAGTTGTTTTACTCCCAGCCGTGCTGTTTAGCTGATTAAAGATTCAAGTGGTCAGAAAAAGATAGACAGTAACGACAGATTCAGAGTGGGAAAAAACCTTCTAAATGGTTCACAGTAAAAAACCCTCTAAATGGTTTACAGTGTGTTTAAAAATATCATAGGCTTGGGGGAGAAAAGAAAAAGGATAGACAACATCCTTAAAAAGGAAATAGAGTACCCAGGTGTGGTGGCATACACCCTTAATCCTAGCACTTGGGAGGCAGAGGTAGGTGGATCTCTATGATTTCAAGGCCAGCATGGTCTACATAGTGAGTTCCAGGACAGTCAAAGATACACAGAGAAACACTATCTCAAACAAACAAAAAAACAAACAAACAAACAAAAAACAAAATATAAAAGTAAAAGATATAGAGTAATAGTAATAAAAAAGACCATGTAAAAATGGAAAATACACAGAGTCTGGATAATGTATTTATTGTGTTGTCTTTGAATTGTTTGACTACTGAAGAAGGAGCAACAGCTGCAAAAAGACATTATGGGTTTATTTAGAATTATATGCAATGTAGTGTTATCATACACATAAAACTGTCCAGGTCTGAAGGTGAATTTAGAAAAGAATGCAGAAGACAGATCTTGGAAATTCTATTAGCTATTTTAATGAGGTTTGACCTCATGAATTGCTGGAGAAAAGAAAATTGTAAATAAAGTGATTTATTCAGTGTTGCCTTTGATGATTTCCTATGGCCTTTAGTGAGTTTTAATATAAATATAAATACCTGAGGTCAGTCACTTAGTCATATCAGTAGGTCAGGTAAAGACAACCAAGATTTGATTTGCGTTGACAGTAGGGTTATGAATACAAAGAATATCTAAAGAAATATTTACAGAATATCAACAGAAATACATTAAGACTAATTGAATAAGCCGGCAGTGGGAATAAAGAGAAAATTCAAAGTTGTTCCCAGATTTATAGTAAGGTAAAGAGTGGATAATGAAAAGCAAGTGGGGAGGAGAGACTAGCCAGTCTGAGTTGAGGAGACTTGAATCATAAGTTGTTTAACTGAACAGTTGAGAACACAATCCTGAAATGACTAGTAAAACCTGAAAAGGAGATACGATAGGAATCTTTAGAATATATGACAGAATTGTGATCTTGACATATCTATACAGATTATGAAGCATGAGTTAATAATGGAATCTCTCGGATACCAACAATTAAATTTGTTTACAGAAAAAGTAGGCATATTTCAGAAGTAGAATTCAAAACTATGAAGAGAAACTGAAAACTAAATCACCTTAGCAAATCCTCACCAGACACAGTCAAAGTTCCTGCTGGGGACATCAGGGACTAACAGGTGGCATTGCCTTAGCAAGGGAAACACCATCATTGGCCACAGTGGCATGCCTCTTTGAGGCCTAGGACTCCTCCTGAGATATCCTGATCCTCATTTACATACTGCAAAGCTGCATGCCTTTCCTTGCTCTGTTGCTGAGACCACAGATGCTCTTATAGATCCTTCTCACTTTGCAAAGAGTACCTGTTATTGAAGGCTTACTTCTGAAGTCACTGCAAAGCAAATCTTTTGATGATTTTCAGGAAAGAATAAATTTTGAACTGCCTTGTCACTTCATCTGAATTTATCTCCCTGTTGGACTTCAGCCTTGAGCTAGAGTTTGGCTGAAAACTTTTTAAGGATAGTGAAAATAGAGTACATATTCTTCCAGTATCTTAGCTTCTTAAGAGTAAGATTAATTCTCATGTTTTCTTTTAATTTATACATAGTATTATATATATAAGTTTATGTTAAAGTGACAATAAATAGAAAACAGTAAAACTCAAAACAGATGGTATTAAATGAGTATTTAATATCATGTATCTTCAAATAAAATATTAAGGGAAAATAATTCAGCAAGCTATAAATAGCACATTATAGCTTACTTATTAAATTGTAGAATTATACTTAACTTTGAAAATTCTATGACAATAATAAAACCAACATATTTCACTCCATCATATACAAAGTCAACTTGGAAACAAAAACAACCACTAATTAAATTTTATTTTTCTATTTAATTGTGAGAGGTTCTAAGGTAGCAAGGATTATGAATACTGTAAGCATAAAAGAATGACAAACATGCTACATTTGAGAGAAGAAAAAATATGTATACTAGTTAACAGGTAGAAAATTAGCCTTAATGTTGTTTTGTAAATTTGTCAGCTATGTAAGTCCCTCCCTGAGTATGTTCCTGATAGCTTTGGAAGCAATGTGTGATTCTGTTGATTCTTCCATTATCTCCCAAGTCAATATGTAAAACCATATTTAAGACAATAATTGAGATATATGATTATTTAACAAATAAGTTGGTTATGTTTATAAATAGATTGTTTCTGCCATTTGACTCTAAAAACTTACCAAAAAAACTCATTCCATCAAAAATATTACCCATGTTATAAATTCATACTTGGGGGGCGTTCCAGACAGGGTTTCTCTGTGTAACTTTGGAGCCTGTCCTGACACTCACTGTGTGAACCAGACTAGCCTAAAACTCACAAAGATCAGCCTGCCTCTGACTCCTGATGCTGGGATTAAAGGCATGTACCACCACTGCCTGACTAATTCATGATATTCTTAGATGAGCACACTGATGAGTTCCAAAGTTGACTGAACAGTTTTGATTTCATATCATTATTTACTCTGGTTTTTACATGGTCGAGTTGCAAATAATGAATGTGGGTATTTATATCTGAAGTACTCTGTAGTTTAATATTTGCTTTTGTAATCATATCACATTCTTTTCCAAATCAGTAATAGCACAAAGATGATAATCTGCAATCAGATTACAAAAGAAAAGCATCTGCTATTTCCTGGACACAGTGTTGATTTCATTGTTACCTACAGATTGGAATACACCTTACCTTCATTTTCCTTCTTGCTTCAAAACTTGCACTTATTGACAGCATGTGATACCCACACATCCATCCCCAGATTCACTTTTTCATATTGTCTGTTGAAACCTTTAGACTTTTCATATTACCATGATATCCCTCATTCTGAAACAATTGCATTTATTTGCATCACACATAGTAATGAGCCATGTCAATTTCAAACTATGATACCACATAAAGCTATATTAATTTAGGCTTCTCTCACTTATGGTAAAATAATGCCAATTAAATACAATATGATCATCCACAAATATTATATAAGCACATATATGTATATATACCAATGCATAAACCAATACATCAACTAATAACAATGAATGAAATACATTAATGGGTGTGACACATTAGTTGTTTATACAAATAATGTTAGAAGAAGCATGCAAATATGTGTCATGTATATTTTATCAGTTTTACAATTTTATGTGTTTTTTTCTTTTTATACATCTATAAGGTCATTTTTATAAAAACATAATGTCATTTTAGTGGACTATGTGAGTAAGGATATGTGTGTAGATTTTTGTGAGTATGAACGTATAATGATTGTTAGGCTTGTAAAATATTCCTATGTGACACTTTTAAAGACATTGTTAGAATTATTGACTTCTCTTGAAACTGTACATTTTGCAAAACTGCCCTATGTCAGAATTTCATGGAATATGTTTCTTAATCCTACACTATTTTCACACAAAATGAACATTTCTTGTGATTCTTCTCAAATTTTAATTTATTCAATACCTGATCTTTTAAAGGAGTGTGGTTATTTAAATGCCATATGGATGCCTGAAATCATATTGAGTTTAAGCAATATACTTACAAAATTTTTCAAAAACTGTATATCAGTTTTGATGTAATTACAAGCACTAATTTATAGCTCTAGAAGACCAGGACTAACCACATTAGAGAATAACCACAAAATCCCATTAGTGTAGATTCTACAAGTATTATACAGCATTTGTTTCTATCAGTGAAATAGCAAAATCAGTAGGCAAAGCTCCTCTCACCACACTACACAAAGAGTAAGTTAGTAGGTTCAGAATTGATTATAGTCATATCATCTGTGTTTACCCTTTTTGGTGGAGGCAGCATCAATCTCTTCTTTGGATCGTTCAGCTTCTGAAAATTCAGTTATTTCAATAATAAGCAATGGATATCAGAGTTTTCAGAATAATAACATATCGTGCTATATATAGTCAGGCAAGAACACAGAAAACCAAAATTTAAAATGCATATAGTGTCTGAGAGGCAGAAAGACAACCTATGGAGAAAGCTAAACTACAAAATTCCTTTTTATCATTTTTGCTTTTTTGATAAATTAACCCTCTGTAAACTCCCTTCCAAGGTATAGCTCTGTGATATCAAAATTGTATTCTTATGTACGTAGTGCTGATAAAAAGTGACTTACTCCACAGAAAGTGATGTTAAAGTATTTGTATATAGTCACAGTTTAAGTGATTTATAAATGTTAGGGAAGAACATGTAAAGTCCTTCTTTGGTCAGTCTTTAATTAAGTATATGGTGAAGAATATTTGACCTAGAGAGCTCATAGTGTGTGCACTGCAAATATTATTGATAATACTATAAAATTTCAACATAATTGTTGCTTCAAGAAATGGTAACCATTTAAAAGACAAAAAGTTTGCTATAAGTGTGTTATCTGAATATCTGTTGAGGAAAATGAAAAAGCTGCACTAAAGATATAATATGGAATATTATTCCTAGAACAAACATTACATTTCAAAGTGAAAATAGACAAAACTTTCTACAAATTGTGGGGGTTGGGGAAGAAAATAATGATGAGATAATCTTTGTAATGCTTTATATCTCATTTTATAAACATTTCATTATTTTAGATTGTTCATTATTATCATATGTCTATACTTTTAGTCTTATTAACATTTGTATATTGTTACCACTCATTATGTCTAATGACAAAAATATTACTTTTACCATTATAAAATACATTGTTTATAAATTTGTGGCTTAAATTTTTCAAATAGAGTTTGAAAAGTCTCACTGTATTTCAGGAAAATGCCTTCTACATTTCTCCATATAAATATGAAATTTTAATTAACTTTTTTCATCTGGGCTGATGGCATTCCTCTAAAAGACAAAGAGCACCTAACACAAAACTAAGTACCAGACATGAGAAGACCTCTTTTGAGTTGTTGGCCCAAGTTGCCTAAGATACTCCCAAAGCATGCAGCCTATTGTCTTGTCATTGGCTACCACCAAGAGGTGGATGTTGTATCCCCATGTTAAAGACACTATGCACTTCAGAGACAGGATCCGGAGGCCTTTTAGCTAGAACTGACCTGAATGTCACCTCCATGAAGTCTATTATCCATAGCACCAGAAGGTATCATGCAAACTTCCCAATAATAGAGACAATCAAGAGCCCCATCCACATCTGATGCCTATGAAATCACACCAATGACCAGCATGGCATGACATCCTCTCAGGTGCAGTAGTGGCACATATGCCTTGGCAGTAACCAATAGCTCTGTAATTGGACTTAATATCCATTCAACAAGAGGGATTGCATTCCTGGGACTGGAAATCTAGCTAATTTTCTATGAAATCATGGTTACTGAAGGAGAATCTACAACCACTAATTTACTAAACAAGAATAAGACTATATTCCTTATTTTTTTTCAGAAATAGTTCAGTGGTAGTCAAATAAATGATTCAATATCTTGGTATAAATGCCTGTAAACACTCTTTCAATGATAAATGCGTATATTGAAAATTCCCATAATCTTCAGTTCTGTGCACTTTTGTTCCCAAATAATTCTGGCATGCATTGGTAGAGGAGGAGATTGTCCTTCGCTCTGCATATCAAGACACTGAAGTAAGTTAGATTGATCAACCTCTGCATGTTGGCCGAACATATAAAAATATGTTTAGTGGTGAAAAATGTTTGATGGTTGATATTTAAAATAAATTCATATAGATAAATTTTCATTTTTGTCTTGTCTAAGGTAAATTTCTTCATAACTCAACCGATTAGAGGATAGTTTCAGATAATGTGAACTAAGCCCTTGAATTAGTAAATGTGAAAAGAATTAACTAAAGAAATGTTTCCAAAGACCTTCAAAGCCATGAGGCTTGGTGTGACCATTTGTAATAAAGTAGAAGTGATGCCCTTACATTTTTAGTAAGTAGTATGAACATAATATCCTTTTGAAGATTTACTATGAATGGCATTACATAGGTTACAAAATCAATACTCTAAAATCCCACCTGTTAACTAATCATATTGTCAATCTCAGCACTATTCTATTCAATTTTCAAAGTGGTATAAACATTTAAGTGACTGGATGGAAGAAAAATGTGTGTTTGGAGACATTTTGGGTTTGATTCTGGATGGAGAAAAGAATCTATACCAACTTTCAGAAGTTCTTATAGGATTGACATTTTTGCAATATCCAAGAAACTCTTCCTCCAACACCTTCACCCCTTGATATTGTAGGAACAATATGATCCCTTGGTTAGTACTACATCATTTAAACTTAGAGAGTTTCTACTTTTGTCAATTTCATAGTACTCATGAGAGCCTCCACTTCAAAATGATAAATGTTTCTCTTACAGTGATATTAATTATCTTCAGGAGCTGAGTGGATGGTTCCTCCCTACTAATGCAATTTCCTTTCTAGTTGTGAATTCATTGTTAATGAAAAATAATTTTCCATGAATTTTTCTTTTGTCAATGTCACCTTTCCTTTAAAATTCAATGTCATCTTATTGAATCATAAACATACCTGATTTGTGTTAATTTATTTATATATCTAACTGTCTTACATATGCTTATGATTTAAAATAACATAAAACCCTATTCCAGATAATCTGGTAATACCTATGTACTTCACAACATAATATTGGCATGTTAAAGACTTTTCAAAAATATCCATAATTTATGTAACTTTCACCTTAGCATTAGTCTTATAGCCATTGACTATCTATAGTGACTGTGTAAATCTGTTTTACAATTTCAACTTCAAAAGACCAACTCATAGATAAATACGTAGTCATAATTATTAGATAATTTAAAGAATTAGGGCTTATGGATTATTTTAAATTAATTTTGTGGTGAAGAATAATATCCATGCCAAGACCAAAGGTCTCAATCTTTTAAAGGGTTGCATACTAACTCTTTTCAAATTTTATATTGGGTTTAAATAATTTGGCAAGCTAGTTTGCTAGTTTACCAAAAAGATGCCTAGCTCTTCACAATGTGATTGGACAGTGCTGCACAGATGGACATAATTCCAGGTTCTATTCTTGTGGATGAATATTTTTATCTGTAAGTCATATTTTCTAGTGAGAAATGTTAATTTTCTGAGTAATTTTCAACCTAAAGTTTTCTACATGTAATGCAAAATTATCAGTTTTATTTTGTGCATTTTCTTGATTATGCATTTCCATGGCTTAGCATACTAAACAATCTATAATACAAAGTTCCAGCTAGCCTTACAGTCAGCTTTAAACTCACTGTTTTGCATGAAAATATAAACAAAATTATAAGTCATGAAAAACTACTTTTCATTTTCTAAGAATATGTGTGTATACATGCGCGTGTGTGTGTGTGTGTGTGTGTGTGTGTGTGTGTGTTTGTGTGTTCATGCTTTTGGAATTCCATTGATGGCAGGAGAGGACATTGGATGCCCTGGAAATGAGCTAGAGGCAACTGTAAACAAACAGGGTTGTTGGGAACTGATCTCAAGAACTCAAGTCTTATGGAAAAGCAACAAGTGTTCTTAACTCCTGATTTGTCTCTCTAACCTTAAACTACTATCTTTTTTTAATGTCTCTAATTTTTAATGTCTTTGTGAACAATTGATTGCAGTGTTCTTTTTTTTAAATAATGTCAAGTTGTCTAATACTTTTCAATTACTCTGTGACATATCTGTCAATGATATGCTGTTTCAAAATTAAACCATTACAAAAAACATAGTACTCCGTTATATATCAACACCAGGATAAATGTGCATGCACCTTTAACAGAAAACAAAAACATAAATGCATTCTATAGTGTATAAAGCATATATTCTATCATTAATCTTATATAGTGAACATAAGGAAGTTAGTATTTTCTTAAAAGCCGATGCCTCATGTTGATCCTAATATTTATTAGAAACATTTCCTAATCTGAGGAGATAAAAATTTACAAAAATGAAGCTCCACAAAAGAAATTTTAGTTAAATTTTAGGAAGGTTACATTTCATTGAAAATTCAACTTTCATGGTAGACAAATTACAATGCTTAGTTGCCTGAGATCCTTAAATAATTAATTAGGAAATGCATAAAAAATTGAAATAGTTTCTAATTCTACAGGATGCAAAAAACATATGTTACTGAACACAGAAATTATGATCTAAATAACTGAAAACTCACAAAGTAATGCCCTCTGGACAAATTTTTATAACAACAAACACAGAAAAAGCCAGATGAGTTATCTTGAATATTATTTCACCATAACAATTAATCTTAGAGAAATATGAATAAGTGAGACATAATTGGTGTTAGCAAGGTCTACAGAACAAAATACAAATGAGTAAGCTGCTAAAATGTGCTCCTCTTATCAAGATTTGTTCAACATACTTGTTTTCCCGTGTTTTTCACTTGGAGCTGCAATGATAAGAGAAAATCAGGTCTTCATTAATTAATAGTCTACTTTTATTTAAAATAACTGAAGTTTAGTTGTGTGCAAGATGGCAAGTATGGTTGGAAACTGAAGAAAAATAGATCTGAGGAGAAATATAGCTTTGCAATTTTCTTTGCTATGCTCTAACATGAATTTCAAAGTCCTAAGATTTGGGAGGCATTAGAAGGTGCTTTCAAGAATCCTTCTGTACTAGATCATGTCTCATTTACTCTACTTTCAAAATTATCAAGGGGCCTGATTGCTTCCTGTTGGGGGAAGTCCTGTGGATTTGTCAATAAAGTAATGTTGAGCCTATAGGGAACCAAGATAGGAGGGACTACGAGTCAAGAAAAAGCTTCTCGTAACAGCTTCCTGCTTTACTTAGAAAAAAACGTATCTTCCCAAGTCCATAAGATTGCCCCCAAAGCATGAATTAATTTTACAAATTATCCAGTAATTCTACATTCTCTCTCTCTCTCTCTCTCTCTCTCTCTCTCTCTCTCTCTCTCTCTCTCTATCTATCTATCTCTCTCTCTCTTTCTCTTTCTCTCTCTCTCTCTCTCTCCCCCTCCCTCCCTCCCTCCCTCTTTCCCCCTCACTCCCTTTCTTCTTTCCTTTCTTCCTTCCTCTTCCTTTTTTTCTATCTCTCAGGCCTGGACACAGCTTCCCCTCACTTCTCTCCTCCCATTTCCTCCCCACTTCCACTCACCCCCTCTCTCAATCCACTCATCTCTTCAGAAGGGGGGTAGATGTCACATAGCTATCAACAAAGCATGGCATATAAAGTTGTAGCAAGACTAAGCACCTTCCCTTATATGAAAGCTCAATAAGGCAATCCCATTTGGGTAATAGGTTCCTACGAGCCAGATAAAGCATTAGTGAAAACTGTTGTTCCTATTGTTAGGAGTCCCACAAGTAGACCAAGTTACACAACTGTCCCATGTATGTAGAGGGCCTAGGGTGATCCCATGCAGGCTCCCTGGTTGCTCGTTCAGACTCTGAGTGCCCATAAGCTCAGGTTAGTTATTTCTGTGGGTTTTCCTGTGATGTCCTTGACCCTCTGATGACAACTGGTGATTACAATCTGATCATAGAAGGCCGGTTCTATATATATATATATATATATATATATATATATATATATATATATAATATTATTTAGATTCTTAGCTGGGGTTATCCATGTAGATTAGTGGGAGTTTCCTATTTTCTTTTTTAAAAAGGTCTGAGTAGTCAGGCATGGTGGTGCCACCTCTAATCCTAGGACGTGGGAGGCAAAGGCAAAAGCATCTCTATGAGTTCTAGGTCAGCGTTGTCTACAAAGTGAATTTCAGGACAGACAAAGTAACATAGAAATACATTCTCTCTAAAATCAAAGCAAAACAAACCGAAAATGCATAAGTTTTAGTAAGTTGGTGCACTTACTATTTACCCATTGAGACGATTACAATTAGACTATTGTAGTTAGTATAGTATATGGCAGTAATACTGATACATTAAAATTGCTCATATCAATATTGTATATGCTTCTGCATGTTTTCCATGATTTATATTATATTTTACCTTCCAAATATGTGTATAAATATGAGTATGTGTTGTTACTGTGGGAATGAAATCCTAAATAATTAGGCTCTACTCTATAATGTAGACAAAACACGCCTTTTCTAAGTTGTAGTTCCTTGACTGCTAATGTGAAATAATGAAACATGCTATTATTTCATCTTTTAAATTATGTGTCTGAAAATTACTCAGTTTTTATATTTTATAACCAATTATTCTATTTCATGTTCTTCTCTTTGACTAATAAACTGTTATTAAGTGCCCATTGTATGTCTGGAATTATAACAGGCATTTTCGAGAATAAAGAGCTAAAATTCATCTGTATCCTCTATCTTCTGACGATTTAAAGCCGCCAAAGGAAAAGGGAATTATACCAGCATATTAAAATCTATAATAACCATGAGAAAATAATGTGATTGAAGTAGTGAAAAGATGTCTAAGATAAGATTGCCCATCTCAGGAAGTATTACAAAATTGGACAAAGAATGGGAAATATAGATTCTAACAATTATTGCAAAGGATTATAGATATGCTATACTTTAGCTGTATTTATTTGGCTACTGGCATAATATTAAATGAATATTGTCTCATTTTAAATACAAGTAAATGTAATACAAGCAGCTGAGAGCCAATACTTGAAGTAATGTTAACCTGCAACATGCACACCACCTGCACATACATGCATCTTCACATCTACACTCTCCAAACGTTACAGCCTACACAAATCTATACATTCACAACTTGTACACATGCATTTTCATGTGTTATACACAAGCACAGAGAGAGAGAGAGAGAGAAAGAGAGAGAGAGAGAGAGAGGGAGAGAGAGAGTGACAGAGAGACAGAGAGAACGAGAGAAATTCTATGTACAAAATCCTCAGTTATATTGTTTGAAAAGCTATAGCTAGTGTTTAAGGCAAGAAATCAAAGAATTTCAGAAATTTTCATTTGAAATGACTTACCTGAACTGGTTAAATTTTAGAATACTTCAAGAAAATGGCTTTGTGTCTATGTTAACTGTGCTATTTTAATATTCATACTGAGAAAAACACTGCAGAACAGCCCAAAAATCTTAAGTAACACCATGAATAGGGAGCCAGTATTTTCGGGAGTTGGAAATTTTTGTCTTTCAAAACTAAAACAATATGGGAAATATCCACAGAAGTGTTTTATTATTACCTTTTCTTGTTTGCTTAATCATAAGTGTACTTATAAAACTGTCTGTGATGGTCATCCCTGATCATCAGCTTCTCAGACTCTGGACCACTGAGGAGACAAGCCTCCAGGCATGTGTGTGATGGGATTATCTAAACCAGATGAGTTGAAGAGGGAAGACACACACTTGCTGTAAGTTTTCCTGAGCTGTGGTTCTGGGCTGAATAAAAAGAGAATGCAGCACACAGCAATCATTACTCTCTGCATACTGACTGCTGATGTGAAGTTACTTACTGCCTTGAGCTCCTTAGTCTTGATGGACTATACCCTTGAACTGTGAGATGAGTAAACCCTCCCCCATAAGTTGCTTTTGTCTGGGTGTTTTTCCAGCAATACTGGTTCTCAGACATTGTCCAAATGGATGCACAGGATTTTACCAAGATGTAGGTTCTGACTTAGTCGGTCTGTGGTGAGAGCAGACCCTGATTCTATCAATCTTCAGAGGTTCATAGGCACATGTTTAGCAACAAGACAATGACACAACATTCAATTTCCCTCCTCTCAAACTATATTGGTATTGATTCTGTCGAGAGCTTAGAAAACAAACAGTGAGGTGGACATATTTCCTGCCTTCACCCGGCATTGCCTTTGTAACCCCATTTCAGACTTGCCTTCCGGTAAAATTAATTGAGCTTCACCAGTCTTACTCACCTGGATGTTCCTTTTTTGGTGACTTTGCTGGGTGAAACAAGAAAAGAAGGGGAGGGTAATCAACAGTCTGCGATACTCCATTAAAATTCATTATTCAAATACTAATTAAATAATTTTAAAATAGAAAAACATTAAAATAACTACCTGGTTCTATGGACTTTTCTCTCTTTTCCTGTTCTAAAACATTATCATTGTTAATATTGTTATATTTTTATGTTTTCTAAATAAGATTTTAATGTAAACAAACATGCATCGCTGATGCTAAACCACAGAAATTCATGAATGTCACAGAAATATTAAAGCCTCGCCCTCAGGGCAGCTCTTTCTCCTTTGTACATTGAACATGTTCTCCTAGCACAGCACTGAAATATTTTGAATATTAGGCATTTATTGAAATAAAAACAAGAAAAATTTTATTGGTTCCTTAAGGATGAAAACCATTAAGCTTGCTCTTTTAGTAATTTTGCTAAAGTTCTGATACAATGTAAGCACATAGTGTAATTATTATGGTTGGTTTAAAAATAAGTTACCAAAAGTTGAATCTGGGTATATTTTATATGGACTTCCTCTGCCAAGTATTTTCTTAGTTATGTATTTAGTGACAATAAGGACTTTGATGTGAAGATTTATGCACTAAGATAAAGAAAGAGGGCTGATGAGAGCAAACATACTTGCCTGGTGGCATGACACATGTTAAAATAGAATCCTCTTTAGATGGTACTACCTTCCAAAACCCACATTGTATGAGAAAAAGGCTTGAGTCTAGCCTCAAGGTAACACTGGTCTGTTAATGTGGACTATTTTTCTAGGGAGTGCAGGAAATAATTTGATAGGAAATGCTATTGTTTATGTTCTTATTCTTATTTTGACTTGACAACTAGTCAATTTAATCAAAAGAAGGTCCTCAAGCAAGCATAACATATAGGCCCAGTGAAGCAAAATGAGACAGATATTTCTTAACATTTTTATCTCGTGAATACAATCTGAAGACAGGGAGATGTTTACATTAAAATAATTCTATAAACCCAACTTTAGGATGAATGTGTGCCACAGAATCTTCTCTGACCAACGCATCAAGCTCTCCATGTACAATTTTGTTCAACAAGCCTTTTCTGATATATGTAGTTTAGGTAATTTATTCTGTTCTGACACAGTTGCTGGCAGTAAAGTAAATAAAACGATTTGACAAAGTGTTGAAAGCAAAAATAAAAGTGTGTTGCTTAACTAAAACTAAACATACTGAACAGTTTCCTAAAAGTCCAAGTGACAATTAACTAGGCATGAAGTTGTTATTTTCTTTAAATAAGTTTTTATTTGATGTATTTAAGTGCTTTGCCAATATGTGTGCATGCATACTGTGAGTGTCATGTGCCAGATGTGGCATTAGATCCCCTGGAACTGGAGGTACATATAGTTGAAAGCCACCATGTGGGTGATGGGAACCAAACCTGGTCCACTGAAAAAGCAGCAAGTGTCCACAATCAACATGCCATCTGTCCAGCTTCTGCGAATACTGTTTAACTAACCGCTGAATAAGTAATTGAAATATTTAAAGATATTTATATTTATAAAGTGATGACAACAAAACAATTACTGAAAGTGAATTTAAGCATTTGTCAAAACCAAACACTGATTATGTGTGATATCCAAAGACAAAATAAAAGTCTTCTCTCTTACAACGCTATTATACATATACTGATAAGTACCTGTTTGAACTGGAATGCTACATAAGAAAACACATTCATGAGGGTGCATTATATGGGGTATTACAAGATGTAATTATCCAAACACATTAAAATATAAATCAATTTACCTCTAAATCTTAAAGGGACTGACAAACACTGGGCCTGTTGGACCATTTGGAATATTTGAATTTTGTTTTGATAATATACTTTTATACTAAAAATTTCAAGACTATAGGATTTTATAAAATGTTAATATACTTCCTGTTCTGTTTTCCTCATCATAGTTTAGACTATAAATAGAAAAATCTTTTAAGTTATAATAACTAGATTACTTTGAAACTTAATATGAGATAGAGTGTATAACAGAATATACTAAATTTAAATACAAAATTCAAATCAAACAAATTAAAACTCAATAATAGTAATAAGGACAAATTCTACTTGACAAAACATAAACGACAGTTTAATTTGAAAGTAGTTAATAACTGTTTTTAAAGACATAATTTTGTCTCTAAACTACTATGCAAGCAGCAATGTATAGCCCTTCTCGCAAAGGAAGGAGTTGGGCTGTAAATGAATATCTAAGAAGAAATATTTATTCACTCAATGCATCAGTGCCCTGAAGATTGCCAAGGAGAGGTTGTGTGTCTGCAGAAACCTTTAAATCAAAGAAGTGAAGGTCATAAACAAACAAGCAAATAAATGATAAATGAAATATATTTGCATCTTTCGAAAATTGTTGAAAAATTAATCGGTAATGATATTAAGAATTGTATCCCTAACAATTTTATTCCAATGAGTTTATAACTCTTGAAGGGAAATGAAATAGGAGCGTGCCAAAATATTTGTAGATTATAAGCAGGAAGATAGTAGGGAAGAGTTTGGGAAGCAATAGCCACTGAGTATTTTCTTAGAACAGAGCACTGACTAGATCACAATACTAAATATACACAATCCTAAATAATTTAGTAGCATTTTCAAATCTCTTATTGCCTTCATGTTTATGCAGATGCAATGGCTTATGGAGTAGTTTCGGTATCCTTGTTCCAGATCTCATGGAAGCTGTATAAACTCATCAATCCAGGCATCAACGAGCACATACTTCTCCACAGATAAATTGCTCCCTCTGGCTGGTTTGCAGCATATTTACATGTTTCTTTCCAAAGGACATTTTAGAGTAGTTTTTGACAGAATTTTTCAGTGTCCTAACTTTGGGTACACCAAAACATGCATCAATTTTTAAGTTGATATATATTTTAACAGCAGAAAAAATAGAATCTTGAAATTTGCAGGCAGATGGATGGCACTAGAATAAACCATCCTGAGCGAGGCAACCCAGTCACAATAAAACATAATTTGTTAATGCCAATGGAATCACGTTTCTACAGTGCTAAAAGTATGCTAATTTTAATGACTGAGTAATGTTAGACTATCCCCTAGTTTATATTTGTTAAGCATATCTTACATTTGCAAAAATACCAACCTGGAGGCAGATAGCTTTACTGAACTGTTAACAAGCAATTTCAATAGTATGTTGAATAAGTGTGGATCATCCTTAAGAAATGGATCCCTCGCAATCTTATTGCAATGGTCTTACAGTGCTTGCAGGTAGACAGAATATGAATATACCAAAGTATTTGTAGAAGATAATATAGAATAATCTCAAAAGCAGCACCCACTGAGAGTTTACTAAGAATGGACAAATAAATGAGTAGACAAAACACTAAACTTACCCAAACATATCATGGGAATCAGTGGAATGCAGTTACGGTAGAAAATTATGGGTTTATTAGCTACCACATGAGTGAGATGGGGTGTGAGAATTCTTGCTGTAGTTTCTGTGCTACCCTGACCTCCAGTTTACATATATTCAAGTATGCTAAAAATCAACAAATAATATAAAATCTCTAAAATAAAATAAAAATAAAAATAGACTCCACATGTATTAAACTCAGAAATTTGAAATATAAACACACCAGCACCAGCAGGCCAATTGTATAGTAGCAGTGGCAACATGTTTGAACAAACAGACATTGCATGCATTTCCTTACTTTTTCCCTTGGGTTGTTCTGTTGAAAAAGAAGCAGGGAACCATCATTCTTTAAGGGTTTTGAGATACACTTGCCACAAAACAATGGATAGAGTGTAGTTTTTGCAACCCACCTACCCATTACTTCTTCTTTTAAATTTCACAGTGAGTCTTGCTTTGAGGTGTCACTAATCATCCCAGGTAGGTCAATAACTTGAGTAACAGAAGCATCATTCAACAATGAAGAGGTCTACAATTATTCTGCTTAATGATCTGAACTAGTTATATCTGGTAGTCTTAACACACATAAGCAAACACCGTATCCATGCATAATTTCAGAAGACAAAGGGTGCTTTTGTCAAATGGGTCGTGATTGCAGTCAGGACAAAAAAGGTATACTTCAGTTCCTAACTTATGTTACAAGATAATTATTAATTAAATTTGTATATTTGATATGTAACATCATTCAGTGTCATAAAATAATCATATCTTTGAAAAGTTTCCTAATAGGTAAATATAAGCAATATATTATTGTTTTTGCTATTATTATTACTGGTGTTTTATGTTTACTAGAGTTTTAGCATGCAGTGTTACACATGATATGGAAGTATACTGTCCTGGAACTACAGCTCCAGACCCTTTATTTTTGTTACTGTCAAATACTTCACGTGGCAATATTGTCAAAGCAGTCTCTCTCTCTCTCTCTCTCTCTCTCTCTCTCTGTCTGTCTCTGTCTGTCTCTGTCTCTCTCTCCCTCTTTCTTGCTCCCTTGGTCTTGCTCTCTTTTTTCTATTCCATATGCAGATTTTTATTTTAGATGTGTGTTTTAGGAATAAAATGCTGTTTAAGGGCTCATCAAGTCAAGTACCAGACCCCTGCCCCAACCACAACCCAAACAGTAAGTATTTCAAGTATTTTATTTACCTTCTGGAATCTTTTTTGCTTTCTTGGAATCTGAAAATGCAAAGATAAGTTATTGATAATGTAGATCAATTAACAAATGAATGGTTAACAATAAAATTTCCATAACCTCAAAAATATTTTTAAGTTAATCAGTACTCTGACTATTGCTAAAAGAGAGTGTTTATGGTAAACTGCCCTGTTTTCCAAAAGATGAGTATTATAAGTCAAAAGGTCCTTTCTAAAGCATAAAACATAGAAAAGTATATAAACCAAAATATCTCTACCTAATTTTCCATGATAATTAATTGTGCCTAGAGTAGTTAGTAACTTCGTAATAGGAAACCAACATGAATATATGTGTACAGTATATTTGTAAAGATGAATAAAGTGCTAGGCGTTGGTGGCACATGCCTTTAATCCCAGCACTCAGGAGGCAGAGGCAGGCAAATCTCTGTGAGTTCGAGGCCAGCCTGGTCTATAGAGCAAGTTCCAGGACAACCTCCAAAACAACAAAGAGAAACCCTGTCTCTATAAACCAAAAAAAAAAAAAAAGATGAATAAAGTCAGTTCCACATTTGTTCTGTTTATGGTGGTCCAGGTGAAATTTCTTGCACATTATTCAATAGTCAACACATACCAAGTACATAATTAATAATTTCCACTATACTATTAAATGGTTTGATATTGCTTATTTTTACAAAATATATTTGAATCTGTTGCCTAATACTGTTATTCTTTGGTCAACACATAATTGTTTTAATTTTATTAGAGGAACATTCAGCCTTCATAAAGGAAACTTATTATTTAGTGTATAGGATTTCTGTTCTTATCATTTGAGAATAAGAACATGAGAGTTTTGAACATGATTATTTTAGAATGTAATATATTAAATTTTAATTTTTCTTCCTGAAATTATAATTATAATAATAAATAATATTTTTTGAAAAAGGTTAGGTATATTGTTTTCTGGCTATACTTATCTTCATGAGAAACAAGAACAGTATATTGGTATAATTTTAGGAGTTTGTGTGCTATATGATGCTGTGGTATCATGACCACTTCCACAGAAAATCAAGTGACCTGACATAATGGGAAAGGATAATATGCTTTCATCTGTTTATTAAGGCTACTCAGGTTGTCTATACAGTTTTATGGAGGGAAAAGTTAGCCAAAGCAGATAACAATTTAGTATTGTTCTATAGAATTGTGAGCAGTATAAAAAAGCAATGTGGGAAAGAACCCAATCATCATAGAAATGAACTTGCTTTTTAGTAAATACATTTCTAGAAATCCAAAGGGAACAATATAAACTCGCAAATGAATACATGAGATGATGTTTCTTGAATGACAATGTGTATATTCATGGAGATATTGTATAGTATGAGGAGGTAGTTGAAGATTCTATGCTAAATTTTCATGACAGAAAAGTGTACAGCCACTATAATGATGCTTTTCAAATTATGTCACAATCTTGAAAGATATTTTCTAAATAAATCTATGCTGTTGTGAGGCAGCTAAAGAACCCGCAATTTAAAATCATTGCTATTTTTAATCTGTCTGCCTTCTCAGTTCTATGTATCACTGATAAGTTGTATTAAATATCTATGATGTAACGATAATAAACTAGAAAATTGTTGAAATAAATTGAAGCATTTCATAACTATATAATAGAAAATAAGAACATGTGATTTAACCAAGGTCTTCAAGTACATTCATTTAAGGAATAGACAGGTGTGGTAAGATTTACTAAGAATGTTACAAAGATAAATTATTTGGTTAAAAGCAACAGATGTTAGCCGGGTGTTGGTGGCGCATGCCTTTAATCCCAGCACTCGGGAGGCAGAGGCAGGCGGATCTCTGTGAGTTCGAGGCCAGGCTGGACTGAAAGTCTCCAAAACAGAGAAACCCTGTCTCGTAAAAACAAAAAACAAAAAACAACAACAAAAAAAAGCAACAGATGTTAACCCACAGTAGCTCCCTCTATCAAGGTATCTCTTCCCTTGCTCGCTCTTTCTCTCCTTCCCCAACTCAACCTTCATGATCTCTCATAAGAGAGGTAGTCTTAAATGAGAGGATCAAACTTGTTACAGAAAAGAGAAATCACCTGGAGCCTTAAAAGAACTCTTATTTTTGGGAGGAACAGGAAACAGTAAACTCTGTTCGGATAACAATGCCAGAATCACGACAGAGCATTTTATATGTAATATTGAGAGCAGCTTTGTGTAAAATACATAAAGAAGAGCAGGAGTAAGTATGTAGGGTGACACAGTCACCGTTGTGCACTAATAACCTTGTACATAGCCACTAGCTATGTAAACTGAAGTGCCTGCTGCACTGATTTGACTCTCAGCAGGATGCCTAGTAGTCCTCTTAAAACATAGCCTCATGGAAGGTTAGTGAGGATCTGATGGAATCAACTCCCGAATGGCCCTTCATCTCTCCCACGTGACATGTGACTGTGACGACATTTTCTCACCTCCACCTTAGTTTCCTAGCCATGGCTCCCAGGGAGAGAGCATTAACTCACAAAGTCATATCGCGATGGTGTGGAATTGGTTTCTATGGAAATGATTCTGTCATGTTTTCTGACATTGATATCTCACTGCTTTTTGGTGTGGGAGAAGGACAGCATGAGGCAGACACACTCAGCTAGCTTTAATTTTTATATATGAAAGTAATATATCTTCTCAGTCTCAAAGGACTCCCCATATCTGACCCCTGGAATTATCCAACCTTTGGTCTTGGGTTTGCCATATTGTATGCCTGACAGCAAGCATGAAAAGCAAGTGTGAAGGTGTGAGAACTTTAGGTCCAGGTTAAGATTAGTAGCATATTTTCTGTAGTCACAGTAGAGTCATTCAGTATTTTAGACAGCTACAGATTTAAATGTTTTAATTAACACAGTTTAATATTTCAGAATGAGTAAGTATTATAGGCAAGATATTTATTTCTCTTATAGTCTCAAACCTTTTCTTTTCAGGAACCTTTAAATGCCTAGCAACCACTAAGGACCACAAATAGCTTCTATTTATTTTTTAATTGATGTTCATAACTTTAGAGAGTAAGCTGAGAACATTTAAAACATACTTATGATTTATTAAAAATAATAAATCTGTTACAATGAATATGAATATCACACTTTATGGCATATTTAATTATTTTGATAAAAATAGTGAGACAAATGACTATACATTTTATGTTTCTGTGAATCTTGTTAACATCTGACCTAATTAGATGACAGTTGGATTGGTATATCTGCCTGGCCATTTAGTTTCTATCAAAGTTATACATCTTTTAGCTTCTGGAAGAGTAAACATTCATGTGAGAAGGAGAAATAAGAACATAAAATGCATTTATAGTTTTAGTATAATGTTTTTGTGTTGGGGGACTATGGAAAAGGGCTCTGGGATTCTCTGAAGACACTGAACACTATAAAAAGTCTGTTTTTCAGAGGTCATTACCCTGGTTGAACTGAGAAACTGGTAAGAGCAATATGAGATAACAGTGACCATGTAAGCGGCAACTACATTGCTGAAGATTGTACTTAATATTACAGCTTTAATTTCTTTAGGAAAGAATGAAGTAAAGGAGTGGTCAATGAACCCAAAGTGTAAGAAACACTAAATGTCAGGGTCCAGTGGAAAATTGCAACCTAATTTAACATAGTAGAGTTTTGGAATCTGTAGGAAGACTGTTTTACTTTTTGTAACAGTTGAATTTCCATGGGAAAAAAATATCAAGCTATTCTAAGTATCACATACTGGATTTGGAGAATTTCTCAAGAAAAGATATTTGATGTAATTTAGCAAGGCAAAAATGAAATTAGAAAATGTCCTGGGGTCATAACAACAGGTGGCAGGCAATCACTCAGCTTAAATATATAAAACTATAACATGACTATTGCTTCAGATACTGTAATTTCCTAATATTTTGATATTAGTTGTAATGAACTAATAGTAATTTCTAAATAAAAATCAATTCATCACAATGAACTCACAGAAATACCACACAGTTAAATTGGTTTATATAACTACCTCAAAGACTTTTACTAATATTATTTCATTACCCAAAATCAAATGATAAATTGATTCATTACTGAGGTGCTATAGCAGTAACAAACATCAACCAAATGAACTTTTTTTTTTTGGATTTTTGAGACAGGGTTTCTCTGTGGCTTTGGAGGCTGTCCTGGAACTCGCTTGGTAGTCCAGGCTGGTCTCGAACTCACAGAGATCCGCCTGCCTCTGCCTCCTGAGTGCTGGGATTAAAGGCGTGCGCCACCAACGCCCGGCCCAAATGAACTTTTTTGAGGTTTTACTCTGTACATAACAGTGCTGGAGCCTGACTATCTCTTTGATTTCATGGCATTTCTGACGACTTCCTAAAGCGTTTACAGCAAAAGTGAACATGAATGGTGTCATTTGCAAGAACAATGTGAAAAGATTTACTACATTCATGTGGAGAATTCATACTGAATTCATAAGAAACATAAACACATGTCCTAGTGGTCTTTATCATAGCATTATGGCTTCTGTTTAACAGAAGAAAAATATGAACCCCAAGATATAGCCAGACTTCATCATGTCTACAGACCTCTGTTCTCTGTCTCTGTCTCTGTCTCTGTCTCTGTCTCTCTGTCTCTGTCTCTCTCTCTCTCTCTCTGAATTCTTGCCATTGTACATACCTTCAAAACTTTTCTGACTAATGAACTCCCCTAAACCCTTTGGGTTATCATTAGTTTTTGTAAAAGACAGCACTCTTGGAAAGAGAAGCCTGAGTCTGGTATGTGCCCATTATGAGATAAATGGCCTAATCATATCGATCACCCATAGTTCAGTGTCTTACAGAAGTTTTGGCTGGTTCACCAAAATACACACAATATTAAAGTCTTGTGATTTCTATGGAGTTGTGTTCTCTGTCTTTCTGTTACTAGAATAATTTACTCTGATTACAACAGTCTTGAATGAATAAAAAATGCGAATTAATAATCCATTCAGTGTAATTTTTTAACAAGGTATGTTTTACTATATATTGTACCAATGTAAAACGGGTAGATAAGGTATACAAGTGATTGACTATAACTTGTATTCAGATTAGAAGAAAAAATAAAATCAGGGACATTTTGTATGTTCAATATAAACTGACTTAATAAAGGAGGATGAGTTCTTCATTTTACAAATATATGAAACTTTATCAAGTTTCCAACAGAGTAGGAGGACTAGGATTTCTACAAACTATATTTTATTCTTTGTCTTGAGAAAAGTCATACTAAAATTATTTTGAGAGTAGTTCAGCCCTTTGGTGAGCTGAAATAGAAGATGCACAGTTGTGCAAAATGCATACACATAATGGATTCAGTAATTCAATAGGAATATGGGCAGAAGAGCAGTCAAATCCTGTTGTGAGTATTGGTAAATTGTTCTAGTAAATGGCACAGTGGAATTTTACATAAAACATTAAAACATACCTTCTTTCTTTTCTTCCTTTTTAGGTACTGTGGAAATAATAGAAAGCAAACATTGTTAAAACATCAGCTGACAATTCCTTAGGATATAGTTCATAATATGAAAAGGCATCCCAGGTACTCATAAATACAGTGATCACGTATGAACTACTTAACTCATCTAAAAATTTATGAGTTAATAGAGAGAATTGTATGTGATGACTTCTTAATACTCAGAAATGGGAATATATATATACATATATATGTGTGTGTGTGTATTTGCTTTTGCAAATGATTCTCAACAAAATATAAACATTTAGCTTCTGAAGAATTGGATGTTGGTGGTTAAGTCTACTTTTCATTTGCAGTAATAATATACTACATATACCATGTATGAATTCTACAAAAAAGAAAGTCTCTGAAATTTTAGTTAGTTCAAGAATTTTCAAAAATCTATACTTAGATCAAATCAATCTAAAAAATCTACAAACAAATTCTATATTCTTACTAATAAAACAAGAATCACATAAGTAAACATTCAGATGTAATTTAGCTTTGTATCACATTTGGGGGTTTGTTTTAACTTAGTTGACTTTCAAATTGTCTGTCTAGTGTGACTTTTGTCCCTTGAGTATAAACTATGCGTATAAACATTAGTTACTTTTTTGTTTGTACATATAGTTTAATTATTTATCTGCTATATGAATGGTCTGTGGGAATTCTGCGATACTGAGAGTGATTATTCCCATCATGTTTTTTCTTATTTTACTGCTGTTTCTCTGAATACATTAATAAAGGATTGGATGCTGCATTGTCGGCTGTGTTAAATCAACACTGGTAACTGTCTTCCTAACACAACGATGAGACTCTAGGTTACTAGCCAACAATAAATTCAACAAGAATACTCTATTTGAAAATAATAGTAATGCAGCAAGAATACTTTATTTTAGAATAATAATACCTCAACAAGAATACCTTATTTGCAAACTAAAATTTCAGATGTCATCTTGACTAAAATGCAACTTAATGTGAAAACGCTGAGTGCATGGTCTTGAGCTGATGGTTGCAGTCTATTTCCACACATCTTTTCAAACCTTCCTGTTTCAACTCCATTAATACTGGGCTGAAGGAAGTTTAATTCCTGATTCAGGATATACTGCATCCATTCATGGTCATCAGAACGTCCAGGCAAAATTGAAGTGCCTAAAATCCTTGCAATTTTATAAGAAAAATAACAACTCGAACACATCAATACACACACACACACACACACACACACACACACACACACACACACAAATACATATGTACAGACACAAAAAAAACTCCTTTTACAAAAAGTTTTTGGCCTGTGGCATTTGCCCTAACATATATTTTCATGTTGACTCACTCTGTTTTTCTAACTCAAATAATATTTATTACATTCCCTATCAAATTTTTCATAAAGAAGAGCAATTTTATTGAACTTGTAATCAGCAAGAAAACTTAAAAGTGGTTCCTTAGACCCTAAGAATGCGAGCATAAACTGCTCATAAATAAAATTTTGGTCAGATGCAATATATTTGGCAGTATCTCACATCACACTATATGCTAATGAGTTTGCTATGAGGCCCCTCTACCCAGAAACAATCATATCACTGTCTAAATGCATCTCTTTTATTGCTAAACACTGCAGTACTGCATAATCTAGTGTAGAAGAGAAAAGAGAGATCCTGTCCAATAAATATTTCCCTGTTTTCTCAAACTAATCTATAAACTTTTCATAGGTGACAATGGCAGAATACTTGTGTCTCTCTTTTGTGTTTTGTCAAATTATTACTGGTTTGAGAATATACTACATCTACTTCTTAAGCCTTAAGGACATCAATGAGGGATGCAACTAATTTTCTTGCATGGTTCATAAAGTCAAGGTAATTATTTTAGTATTATATCTGGAAGCCATGTTTTGCAATGTGAGCTTTTAGACAATAATCTTGATTTTCTAATATTGTAATAGACTCTTCTAATATGAAACAATTCATAAAATACGACCAATGTAACCAACCCATTAGAAGCTATTATGGTAATAATTAATTTGTGTATTTTATGTATTTATGTGATTTTGGTTTAGAAATATGTACTAAAGCATCTTGAATGATGCTTGGAGGCAATGCACTGATTGTTATTCCATCAGGCATGCAAATTCAGCATGATTATTGTTAAGACTTGTTCAAATGCCTAAAGAAATACTTGCCTCAATGACTAGTGTTCATGGTACTTGAAGGTACTCTACAAGCCACCAAGGTGAAAAGGTAAAGAATAACCCAACTACAAATACTTCGATCTACAATTACGACCTGCCTACAAGATTTTCTGGTGCAATGTTGGCACAATGATTAATAGAGTATCCAACCAATATTTGATTCTATTTACGGCCAACCCGTGAGATGGAACCTCTCTTTGACCCTCTTGTGTGGCCAAGTAGCTGAGACGAGGTATGCCAGAGACCTAGGAGAAAGCCACATAATACTGTTTCGCTGAAGGAATGTATCAACAAAATGACTCCCACAACATTTTGCCATAGCCACAGAGCAGTGCCTCGCTCAGCCGTCAAATAGAGAAGCTTCCTCCTGTGATAGATGGTATCAAATACAGAAATACACAGCTGGACAATGTGCACAGCATGAGAGGCCTTGGAACACTTAGTCATAAATGCATGTCACCAATATCCCCACTCCTATCCTGCAACACAGAGAACCCTGCAGAAGAGGTGGAAAGCCTGTGACAGCCAGAGGGGATGGAGGACACCAAGGAAACAAGGCCAACACTAAGAGAAACACAGCAGGATCTGTGAACATATGAACTCACAGGTACTGTGGCAGCATGCACAAGGCCTAGACAGGACTGGGCCTGATAGGATCCTGGTGATGACACTGGAACTGGAAACAAGCCCCCAACTGTAGCCCAGAAGCTATCTCCAATTTGTAACTACTCACAAATAAAAATTAATTTACATTAATAGTCTCACTGAGAACACAAGCCACTCTGAGGGCAGGGCCCATCCCCTGCAGTAGATGGACAAGACAAATGAGCTCAGTGATATCTCTGGAAGTATTTTGGTCTCACAACGCTATTATACATTTTTTTCTTTTTTCTAACAGGTCTTCTGCTTATGTATTATGGTTTCTGATTTTGTGTTGTTGGGAGATTTCTATGTGTTCCAATGCGTGTATCTCTATGCCTATATTTGTGGTTTTTATGCTTTTTATTTGGATGTTTTTCTGTTGATTTGTTTGTTTTGTCCCATCTAAGTATGCTTGTATTATTTTATTTCTATTTCTTAGGCGCCTGTTTGATTTCCAATGAAAGAGAATAAGAAATGATGTGGATTTGGATAGATAGGGAGCTGAGGAGGATTTTTGAAGAGTTGGGGTAGTGGAACCATAATCAGTGTATGTATTATCTCATATATGGATTTTAGACATAGATCTGGGGAGTGCCAGCTTACAATCCCATGGCCAGAGAGTCAGGGAAACAGAACCTTCATTCAGTGGCTGATGGAGGCAGAGGCAGACTCCCAGAGCTAAGCACTGAGTTGAACTCAAGAAATCCAGTGACAGAGAGTGAGGACTGATGACCAAAGGGATTAAGACTGGGCTGGTTTAACCCCCAGAAACAGCTGACCTGACAAGGGGTAGCTCTTGAATCCCAGGCTGACGCCTGGGAATCCAGCATGGGGCTGATCAAGACCCCCTGAATGGGGGTGCCAGTGAGGAGGCCTAAGCAATCTATGGGGCTTTTGGTAGTTGACCAGTGTTTATTCCTGGCATACAAATGGACATTGGGTACCCATCCCACAATGAGAGATGCGCTCTCACCCTGGACTCTTGGGGAATGTTCTAGGCCCTGTCCTGGATGAAATGACAGATTATGGACACCCATGGAAGAACTCACCCTCCCTGGGGAAAGGAGGGGGTATTGGGTGGGTGGTGGGAGGGGGTGGGAGGAGGGGAGGGAAAGGGAGAGGGATGTGAGATTGACATGTGAAGAAACCTTGTTTCTTATTTGAATTTAAATTTAAAAATAAAAATTTTAATAAAAAATCTGGCAAGTTTGTTTATTGCAGAAGAGCAACCAGCAGATGGCACTCTTCTGCAATAAACAGCTTTTGCCTTGTCAATTAAAAACTATGAATGGAAGGGAAGAAAAATCAGTAGTATCCTTAATGTGTTGATTACTTACCTTGTGCTGTAACTTTAGCAATTGTTTGCTTGGTTTCAGGAGATTTGCCTGTCTCTAAAAGAAAAAAAGAAAAAGGACAAGTTACCACAAATAAATGGTTCAGAACAATATATGTATATATCATGAAGAGAAAAAATTACACAGTAAAGCTTATCATTTCTATTTTTCAATTTTTTTATTTTGAGAATTTTATACCTAAATATTTCATTCACTGTGTTGCTATTAATTGGCACCTGAAATATCTTCCACACACATGTACACACAAATACATGTGCACTACATGCATGCCTGATACTCTCTGAGGCCAGAAGAGGACATTCAGTTCCTTGGAAATTGGAGTTACATATATATGTGAGTCATCATGTGGATGCTAGGACCTGACTTGGGCTGTTTGTGTGAACATCGAGTGCTTTTTAATGTTTGCTGAACCATCTTTATAGCCCCCAAATTCATTTTTAAAGGGACAGTCTGCAATGTCTACCTGTAAAAGGATGATTTCAACAGAAGCAAACCTCAAGGTCGTAACACAGGAATAAATCCCTCACAAAGCCATATAGTCCTTCTCTGAGCTCAAGCTCCAAAGTTAATGTGTGGTAATTCACAAGATTTTGAATGAACTGCACGTTAAAAAAACTAATAGCATAAACCCAAATGCCTTTTCAACAACTCTGCCAACTGCATGCACTCTGCAGCAGCAGCAGCCTCAGAGCTACTAAGCTCAAGCACAGAGGTGACCAGATCTGACATCTGCTTGGACACAGCACTCCTATTATCAAAAGAACTGCTTTCAAGTTTGAAGAGGAGACCCAACCATGAGACCACAATGCACAACAAAAGAAACCCTCACCAGCACATAGAAGTGAAAGCACATTAAATCTAGGCAGATCACCAATAAGGGCATGTTTTTTGCGTCCTTTAGATTTCTGCTTCCCCCCCACACACACACACACAAAGACACTAACACTATAGTAGAAAAAACTCCAAACAAATGCAGAAATAACAAAATAATATAGTGAGATATATACTACTGACAATCACTGAAAAGTTCCTAAGTAGTAGCAAGTTATTTCCTCTCCATTATCACACCCAATGTAACCCAATGAAAATTTTCAAATGAATTTTCTACCTTGTCATTAGCCTTTATTTGGTGATTTATAGATATAGCTTTGCATCAAAGGATGTAATTTTAAATAAAAGTGAATGATCAGAACATCATTCAAATATAATAGTTATGAAATTGATGAGTAATATTTATAGCATAAGAAAACAGTCTAGAATGTATACGGTGCTGTATGCATGTATACAGTACCATAAAACAATGAGAGGGATCAAAATTTGAATTGTAACAAAAGTATTGTTCCATATGAAAATATCAATCTAATTTCTTTATCATGCTTTAGTAGGAAATATTAAACAAGTCATCATTCTAATCATCACAAAACATACTAATGCAAAGAAATTGTCATGATTACACAAGCCAAATTTTTCAATCTCTTGAATCCATAGCCATGGAAAGAATTGAAAAAAATTCTTAGCAGAATTGAAAAAAATATTGAGACACCACACATTTAATTAAAGAATCACTTTTTTTGCAACAGATTCAAATATTAAAAATGGTGAGCTTGTCATTTATGGGTCACCGTTTGTATTTTGAGTTGAATTAGTGAGTATATAACTTTTAAACAACTGCAGGAAGCAGATGAGCATCTACAATAGAATCTTCCATGTTTGCCTCTGGCTATTTGACAATAATAGGTGATTGCAGTGTTATTTGAGAAACATGTTTGCCTCTGAAAATTGTTTTTAAGGTTTCCTCCACCTCTAAAACAATATCACTACATTCATTATAGCTATTTTTCAGAATAAAATAGGAGAGATGAATTACCATTTCAACAGTGGTAATGAGAAATACTTGAATAATGAATTAGATCCTTCACTTCAGCAAATGACAGTAATATAAATAATAAGAAGTCTATTAAACAAAGGAACAATCTGACCAGGGAAATGGAATGAGTAGAAGCAAGTGCTAAGGCAAGAAATTAGTACTGAAGCTATGGTCTAAACATCCATCATTCCTTAATTCAAGTCTACTGGGCATGGCAGTGAAGATTTCAATCTCAGAGTACTCATACATTAAATTACATCCACAACTGTTTCTTCTTGCTAGTCTACAAATCCCCTGGGGCTACTAATTGTTGCTTACTCATCTACATAACTCTAGCACCAAGAGAACTGTTGACAAAATTATCTCTAATAAACCCGAAAGAAATTGCATAGGAAATCTAATGATAATAGTAAAAAAAGTTCAGCTGACCAGACTGATATTAAAAAAGGTACACCTGAACTCTGTTGCTCCTTATAATTGATCATACAGTAAGCAGAGAGCCTCTTCATTCTAAAGGTCAGAACTTGATTTTCAATAAATTAGATTGGGACTAGTTAACATTTGTACAAGTGGAACTATTATTATCTCACTAGAGCAAGAAGAAAGCAGCTCTTCTTTAGGCAAATAATGAATCAAGTTCCTTTGATTTAGTGTAGCCTGTTGTAGGTTTTGCAGTACACAAAAACATTTACATTAGTATGAAAACTAAATATGGAGGCTTGCTGAAAGCGAGTCACTGTGGTCTTTCAGTGCTTCTCCTCTCAACAACCTGATCCATCAGCAGAACCTGCTGTAGCTGTACTTGTGCATGCTGTATCACCTCCAGTCACAGTGCGTCCACAGGGATACTTATTTGTACATTGCTTGTTTGTTGAGAGCCCAGTTTGAAGAACTTAAGAATGAGAAGGTGGAATCAACACAGCCGCTGAGGGAGGCAGAAATTCTGGCAATATCAGTTTCTTCAGCTGTATACCCTCCCTGACTCTCCCAGGGCATGCCTCCTATGAGAGATATGGGTGCTCCAAGGTTCCAGAATGATACTTAGATTGCTGATATTCTTCTGAGAAAGCAATGTATCATGGTTATTTTCCCAAGAGAGACCACTGATAGAAATTGAGGATGGAAGACTGGGATTGGGAGGCTAGACAGATGCAAGAGGAAACACCACCTGATGGTACAATGAATGAAGCTTTACCTTTTTCCAGAATGGAAGGTGATCCCCCGCCCCTTGCGGTGGCATATTGTGACCAAACCTTTGAAGCGACTAGTGTGGGTATAGGTACCTCACTGTTCATGCTTGCTAGTGAAATAAATTACAAAACCTCTTCCCACTTGCCCTAATAAAAAGAAATAAACACTGGGGGAAGAAATAAAGATAGAATTATAGTGTTTTTTACATAAACTATGAGAGAAATCCATAGTCATTAATTCAATGGTTAAATCTGGGCCAGCATGGTGACACCATGTAAACCACTCAAGTAGACACACCCTTTTGAAATAAGACACTAGAAGCTGATAACAATTTATCCCTAAATCCAATGAGTTTCTCAATCAAAGTCTGAATTACTGTTCTCTAGTATTATAAAACTATAGCCACATGTTTTCTTATAAAACTGAGCTATGTTCTTAGACAGAGATATTACCCAAATAGGGAAAGATTAGGAAAGATTAAAAATTAAACTAAGAATTTATGTGCTTACAAGTTCTTAGGTTAAGCCTCTTGTACTCACTGCTGCAGAAAAGCATATTTCTGGGATAATACTTAATTTTAGTATGATAATCACCCTATTGAGATGAAATAAAAAACGAAACAGCCTTTGGCCATTTTGCCTGACCAAGGGTGCTGAAGTTGGAATGAACGGCCCATGTGCTGCCAGATATGCAAATTGTAAGATAGTGCAAAGTACAGAAGTATGAATAATTTATCAAAATAATCTGTTATTGCTAAAGGTTTAGAAAAATCTAAATTAGCTGGCAGCACTATTTACAAAAGGTAATGCAACTGAGTCATACCTCTACGCCCCAGAGAATCTTAATCTCATCATTGTAGTCTAACCTCTCTGAATGGGTTAACAGCAAAAACTGAGGATGTATGTTAAAGCAGTTCCTTTTGTTTGATTTAGGAACCTTTCAGAAACCTGAATTGAGATTTTTGTCATTGAAATCATCCCAAACATTTCTCATCTTGAGGGGAAGAAAAAGAACTTTGGAGCTTCCATTTAGCATTAAGTTAAAAAGTCTACCCATAGATTGTGGAGACACTTCAGCAGTTCCCAGCAGTGCTGGAGTCAGCTAAGCATAGGAGGCCAGTTGATTTGAGAGCATCAGTCAGAACCCTGTGCACATGGCTATCATCTTGCCATCTGAACGGAATGTGTGGGAGTGGTGCATTTTTTAACCGATTAAAATTTAAAATTAACTATATTGAAAGAATCAAACAAAGAAAGCTTCATAATTAAATAGGAAGTTAAGAATGAGCCAGAGATCATTCAGATTTCTAATCTTTAAAACACTTCACAAATCTAAGGAGAGGAAAAAAATCCATTGAGATCAAGAAAATCCAGATGCCATGACAGTAACAAAACATAGGGTGATTGTATGAGAAATACAGGCAGTACTGCTCCTGTGGGTACCAGATAGAAGACTAGCTGTCTTGCAGGGCTGTTGATTCAGACATATTGCCTAAAGCAAAGTCACAGTACAACTAATGGTTAAGGTCCCATTCAATCCTCAGTAGCAACTTTGCAAAATCACTATGTGTATAGATAGGAATATCTGAAGGATTTACCCACATGTTGTTTTGTTGGCAAATGATTTTTACCATTGAAATTTACTTTAATAACTATTTCATTTTCTTTTACAATATTTTAATTGCATGTGTTCTGACTTTGCAAGCTAGACTGATTTCCTTAGGAAATTCATATGCTTTTAGGACAGTGTATTAGCTAACTGAGGTTAAATTGCCCTCAGTTTCCAGTAGAAATTTGACAGTAAAAATTATATACTGTCTGGAAAAATGTGGCATTCCCATATGCTTGATTTGTCTTCTTAGCTTGGACTTTAGGGTTGATTTGTATTATTTAAAAATGTCATTATATTTTAAAGATTTATGGTTTTTTTTTTTTGTTTTTTACGAGACAGGGTTTCTCTGTATTGTTTTGGAGGCTGT